CTATACAAAATGCACTCCGTTAGTCCTTCCGTCAATTTGGGTCATTCACTCCATCATGTGGCATTTTTTATATTTTTTTGATGATATGGATAGTCCAACTGGAAAAAAATGATGACATGGAGATAAATTTTTATATTTTTAATAAAAAAAATAAGAAACCTCTTCGACCTATCTTCTACCTCCTCTCTCTTTCTCTTTCTTCCTCCTCTTGTTGCTGCCTCCTCTGCTGACCGAACCCAGCAAATCTAGGATCCACCAAACCTTCTCCCCCCTCTTTCACTTCTTCCCCTCTTGCTTTCTCAAAACAAAATCAAAATCTTAAGAATTCATACTACTTTAATCCAGCTTAATGATCATATACTCACAAGAGAAATAACCAAATCAAAACATACAAACAAAATTTTACAGCATTCATAATACTAAATTAGCACATCCCACAACCACAATATTTGAAACAAAAATCCATCAAACAAAAGGGTTCAATATATGCCTAGAAATTGCTAGAGTTACTAAACAAAAAAAATCTATAAACATGGGTTTGAAAACCCAAAAATTCAGGTTCCTTAAACTCATGTTGTTGGGTTCCATGGAACCCAAAACTGGGTTTGTTACTTGACCCAAATCCGAGTCTGTGGAACCCAGCGATTTGGGTTAAACGAACCCAGATAGCTGGGTTTCGCAGAACTTGGATCTGGGTTCCATGGAACCCAAAACTGGGTTTGTTACTTAACTCAAATTTGGGTTCTGTGGAACCTAGTGATCTGGGTTAAATGAACCCAGATAGCTGGGTTTCGCAAAACCCAGATATGGGTTCAATGGAACCCAGATTGCTGGGTTCCACGGAACCCAGAACTGGGTTCAAACTAACCCAGATCTGGGTTCTGTGGAACCCAACGATCTGGGTTAAACAAACCCAGATAGCTGGGTTTCGTAGAACCCGGATCTGGGTTCAACGGAACTCGGATCTGGGTTCAACAGAACCCAAATTGCTGGGTTCCGTGGAACCCAGAACTGGGTTCAAACGAACCCAGATCCAGGTTCTATGGAACCTAGCGATCTGGGTTAAATGAACCCAGATAGTTGGGTTTCACAGAATCCGGATCTGGGTTCAACGGAACCCAGATTGCTGGGTTCCATGGAACCCAATAGCCATAGGAGGAAGAAAGAAAGAGGGTGAAGAAGGTTTGGTGGGTTGCAGCAGGAAGAAAGGGAAAGCAAGAGGGGGAAGAAGAGAAAAAGGGGGGAGGATCTTAGCTTGGCAGGGTTTGGTCAGCAAAAGAGACAGTAGGAGGAGGAAGAAGAAAGAGAAAGAAA